GGCTGTCACAGGAGGCTGAGTGAGCGGTGCGAGAGGAGAGCCCAGCCTCCTGTGACAGCGCTGTCTCCGCCCCCAAGAGACACCGGCCGCTCACAGCGCTCTCCTCCTGCAGCGCTCGGCCAGATGTCACTTTCTCTCCTCCCCGCTGGGACACAGAGCAGCGCCCAGAGGGGAGGAAAGAAATCACGGATGCGCCGATGTATGGCCAGGAAAATGGCACTTTCGGCATTTAGCCAAAAGTGCCATTTGCGGCCGATATGTTTTGGCGGCCGATATATATCGGTGTATCCCTACTAAAGATGCTAGCCATGAAGAGGTTGAATAATTTTGAGACAGCAAAAGTCATTTGAAAGTTGCATTTTCAGCTGAATTTGGTAAAAACCGATTAAAACATTCGTTGTATTGACCTATTTCAATTGCTTTAGTTTGATTTGTTCATTGCAAACAGTTGAAAGTCTGTAAATGTTGCCAATAAACCTGATTTGCAATGGGGGTTGAATCTTTTTGATTATAACCGTAATTCTGCCATGACAGATTCCCTTTAAAACAAGCCTGCTAGTGTTTATCTGGCATCAGAAAATGACATAATCCAGACCAGCGCATCACAATACAAGGACTCCTACACAAATGTAATGACAGCCTAGCACATACAAGCATGTTTCATATCTCTTGTGCTCTGCAAACACAGAGCTGTTCCTACAGCTAAATGTTAAACTGTGTGATATCTTTTTGACGTAGACTGCAGAGCGCACACTGTACAGCTAAGGAGATTAAGCGATGTGGTCCTCAGGATTCTGGCAACAAAGAACACGGTGTTTCCAAATCAAAAATTCCAGATATATTTGTTTGTCTGGAGTGCATGCATTCCACTGGCGCTTAGGGGGAAAGTTCTAATTCCAACAAGTGTCACTACTGAAAAAGTGAAATAATGTAAAACACTTCACTGAAGCATTGACACATACGTGGGGAAAAAACATTCGCTAAAGCAATAATTCAACCTATGCTCAATCATACACAGGCCAATCCACTACAAATGGCAGGTTGCGGTTGTATGCTGGTAAATGCTTTTCCTTATACTTGTGTACAGCTGTATGCCCCGGATATAGACAGTCTGTGCCCAGGGACGTACAGCCTTATTTATATTCAAATATATGCTTGGAGCAGCATTTACCAGCGTACAACCACAGCCTGTCATTTATTTGGACATGCAGACTGTATGCAACACCTGCGGCTCTTGGCCCGGAAGAGTTTTATGGTGCAAGGACCTCTGTGTGGATGAGCCTAGAGCTGCAGCTAACGATTATTTTCCAAATCGATTAGTTAGCCGATTATCAAGTTCGATTAATCGGATAAAAAATACATTTTAAAAAATGGCTCCAGGGATGGACTACTAGTTTGTATTGAGATTGCAGTCCATCACAGGAGCAAGCTTGGAGCGATGGAAGTAAAAAAGAAAAAAAAAAAAGTGTGCTGTACAATGTAGTGAAATGAAGTGTAAAATTATACAGCAATGAATGCAGAATGGCATCGGCTATAGAGGACTCCAAAACCCAGCAATAGTACATTATACAGCGCAATGCAGAATACCACCAGCTATAGAGGAATACAACAAATCCCAGCAATAGTACGTTATACAGCGCAATGCGGAATACCACCAGCTATAGAGGAATACAACAAATCCCAGCAATAGTACATTATACAGCACAATGCAGAATACCACCAGCTATAGAGGAATACAACAAAACCCAGCAATAGTACATTGCTGCATTGAGCTGTATAATGTACTATTGCTGGGTATTGTAGCCCTCTATAGCTGGTGGTATTCCGCATTGCGCTGTATAATTTATTATTCCTTGATTTGTAGTTCTCTATACAGCGCAATGCAGAATACCACCAGCTATATAGGAGTACAACAAGTCCCAGTAATACTTTATACATACAGTGTACAATGTACTGCTGGGATTTGTATTCCATAATCGATTATGTCGATTAGTTGTTGCAGCCCTAGATGAGCCCTTAGGCCTCATGCACATCGGTGTTTGGGGATTACTGTGGCAAGAACATGCGGATTCTTGAGACTGGATTCCCAGGTGTGCCCGCACAGATGCTAGCGCTGTGCCCATTCAACTTAGTGACAGGGTGGCTGCAGCCACATCTGTCCATGGCTGTCCACATGTAATTGTGATGATGAGGGAGAGATGATTGTCCCAGGACGAAAGAGAACTTGCATCCCGAGACAAGCATCTCTTGGAATACGCAGGTAATCATACCATGCACAATTACATGAGGACAGCCACGGACAGATACGGCCGCTGTAACCCCGTCATTAACTTGAATGGACACACCTGGGATACCTGCTTCAACAATTCACAGGATCTAACAGCAGGAATACCCAGACATTCGTGTGCACGAGGCCCGTGGCCACATCTCCTTTTAACTGATGCAATTTGGCAGAGCTGAAGGATGTCTCCCTTTAACTAACATGCCAGCCAAGATAGGCTCAAACATAAGGAATGGAACTTTAAACAAATGCCACCAAATGTCTTCCTGAAATGTAGAAAACAGTTAAGTGAATTAATTTAGGCAAAATTGTGGGACATATCAAGCACCTGAAAGCAATGCATGTATGATTGCAAGATTAATTGTCTTCAATGAACTGGTTCAAACACAAATGAAGCAGCACCATTGGCTGCTGCCCATAGAAAAAGGACAGCTACAGGGCCCTGGGGAGTTAAGAGGCCCATTACCCTGATGATTGTTGCCTAATCTGGATAATTACAGTTGAATTTGAAAACAATTGAATGTCTATGGGCAGTAAGCAATCTTGGCAACACTCCCAGGTCATTCCATCCCAGGTTAAGTGACAGTCTGGAAAGCATTTCTCTAGGCAAGTACCACTGTTCCCCTGAGCTAGGACCATCAGTGCAGAAACCTGCCTGCTTCCCCGGAATCAATATTCATTTTTAGATCACAATAATTGGAAAGGCTGTAATTATTATTATTATACAGAATTTATAAAGCACCAACAGCTGGAACAGTGCTTTCTAATGAATGAGGGGTGTCACAATATCCGGAAATCCGTGCTGGATTTTCGCTTTGCTCCCTGGTTCTGGGCTGTCAGCCTATGGTGTCTCACAAGGCTGCCGCCAATCTGCTCTCCTACTCCCCTATTTAGGACTTCCTCACTTGTTGCTCTTGGTGCGAGCAACAAGTCTTATGCCTTGTTCCGTACCCCTTGTGGCTCTAACTATCCCTTGGATCTTATTCCCAGCGCTTGCTATTGGATCCTTGTGCCTTTGGCTTCCCTGTACCAGCTGATATCCCTGTTTGGCGTTATCCTCCGCTTTGCTCCTTGCGCCCCTACTATAGTATTTCAGTGTATACCTTTAGTATATTGCTGCAGACCTTAATTGCTTTCACCTGTGTGCTGTGAGTCTCTCTATATTGCCTTCATTGCCTCACTTCTACTGCGTTTTCCCTCTCCAGCCTTTATCTGTTTGCTTCCTCCTATTTACTTGCTTTCTTGTACTTCAATTCCGTCACTTACCTTCCAGTGTATCTCCCTTTGCTTTGCTGTCACCACTTTATTTCTGTGCTCCTCTCTTATCTTGTGGTTGTGTTGGATTCGTCCTTGTCTGCACACCCCCTGTATGCATACATCCCTTTGTGCTTCTTTATGTACTTTTCCCGCTGTTATCCTGCTTCTTTGTATGCATGTGCAACGCACATCTCTTGCTTACCATAAGTGCTATTAGTTCCTCTCTCCCTGTGACCAACATCCTGATATCCCTCCTCTCTGTGACTCCTACCAACTCCTAAATCCCCGGAGCTTATGTACCCTAGTTCCCCAGTCCCCAGACCGTGACAGTATGGTTACAATACAAGAGGGTTAGGAGGGCCCTGCTCATGAGAGCTTACAATCTAAAAGAGAGGGGCAAGTGAAACAAAAGGTAATAATGGTGAGGGGATGAGTTGATGGAGAAAACACATTTCCATTTTTGAGGGGGGATAAACTTCCCTGAGGCAATGTGATTTCAAGGCTCGTTAATGTCTATGGCGGACTTTAGTGTTTTGTATGGCTGCATAACATATCTCCTATGAATTATGTAATTAACAGTTTCTTAAAGGGGAACCTGAACCACAAATATTATTTTTAAACAGTTTTTTTATTGTAGTAGACATATTAGGTCTCTTCTGCAATAAAAAAGTGTCACCTGCCTGTTTGCCATGTACACTGAGCTGTGCAGTGTACAATTTCAGCATCTGTTCAGATCAAAGCGCAGAAGTTAGATCATTGTGTTACGGCTAATCAGCATAGCTGAAGAATTCCCAAAAGAAGACCGTACGATGTCAGAGGCCAACGAAGGAGCTTGCAGACATCGCATTGCTGAAAAGCAGGGGAGTATAGCTCTGCTTTAGAGCCTGTTCACACGTCGTCCGTTTTCTGTGCTGACGTGATCCGTACGCTCCTGCACTAAAAATGCATCCCAATGTATCTCTATGTGTTTTATGGGCTACAGTTCTCACGTGTGCAGTCCGTTCAGCTTACGACAGAAAAAATACTGCATGTCACATTTTGTATGGTCAGGAAATGGTCAGGAAACGGTCAGGAAACGCAAAACGTGTCAAAAACGCACTGCACTGCAGCTAACATACTGACAGCCCCACTCCAGCAAAAAAAAAGGTTTTTTTTAACTGAAACGCGGCAAAACACATAGCACCGCGTCTGCTGATCCGCACCTGATCAGGACCTAAAACTCATGTGAACAGGCCCTTAAAAAGACTACACATGTTCTTTCTCTATCTACTTAAAAAACAAGACAAATATTGTGTTGGTTTTATTAGAGCATATATACAAAAGGATAAGCGCTTCAGCTTATGACTCTCTTATCTATGAAAGCACGACTGCTGTCTGAGTACAGGTCAACTTCAATAACACTAATCAGCATACAATGCACAGTAATGGATGTCAAATAGTTATAGGTGTCTAAACGTCTTACCTCATAAAACATATACAGGGAGAGCACAGTCAGTCCAAGGTTATAAACCACTAAAATTCCTCTACATGAAATGGGCTGCCTGTTTTGCATGTACTTTGGTCCAATCCATACAACAAATAAATACAGGGCAGTGAATACAAAGGTGGGGATATAACTGCCCAACAGGAACCATCCCTTCACTCGTGGGTCTGAAATATAATCAGAAACACCAAGTTAGAAAAATACCATAAAACAGGATTTGATAATGTAGGATCTCTGTGTATTCCAATCCAGACAAGCCAAGCCTGGACAAACTCATCCAAGTTGCAAATAGTCAATAAACAAAACAATGTTACCATTTAAAATGTAAATACCAATTGATGTTGTCAGTTTATAGGCTATGGCATTCAATGTTTCCATTTAGTAGCCCTGCTCCGGTAAAAAATAAAAAATGTAGCAGCAAAATACTCACCATCTCTCCAACACTGTCTTTAGCAGACACACTGCTTTGGTTTTTAGCAGAGGTCTTTCTCCAGATTGAATGACAGCCAGCATCATTCAACCCACTTCCTGTAAGTGCTGGATGTCATGGACCCCCCCCCTACTCGTACTCGCCCAAATGCTTCGATACTCACCCTGATACCGGAACTTCGGAGATTCCCCTCTGACCGGCAGTGCCACGAGGGAGCATGGAGCCGGCTTCCTCTTCCCGGCCAATCAGGGAGCTGGGCGGCAGGTTATGACCCACCTCTCAGCTTCCTGATGCATAGCAATAAGTTAAGCCGGTCAGGAAGCCAGGCTACCTCGCATCATGATGCCGGCTTCCTAGCCAATTAGGAGCCCGGGAGGCGGTCATGCCGTGCCGCCATGTTGTTTGGCCGGCTTGATGCTGAAGCCGGGTGGCGAGTCATTACCCTCTGCCCAGCTTCCTGATTGGCCAGGAAGTCAGCTCCATGTTACCTCGCGGCGCTGTTGGTCAGAGGAAATCTCCTTCTGACCAGAAGTTCCGGTATCGGGGCCTGAATACTTATGCCAAAGTGATATTTCAGTTGTTTTTTTTTGATACATTTGCAAACATTTCTAAAATTCTGGTGCTGTATCTAATCATCAGCTTTGATGTATGACAAAATATACAGTATGTATTCCCAACCTGGCAAATATGTGACAAGAGTGAGGCACCTTTCACCTACATCCTTTGTAATTAATCTTTTCTAAACATAAATGATTTTATGACTTGAGGAGAGTCCAAGAGATATCATAATGTCACCCTGACCAGACATTAGCTCAACTCTTGGCAATATATATATGCAAATCTTTCTTTGAGTTTCCGGCATTTAAAAAAACAAAAAGGGAATAAAACAAACCTAATTGACTATGCACCGTGTGTTTGCCTAACGTTTCATAACTAATTTGCAAGATTCTGCCATTTACCAATCTCAGACCAGTTCTCTGTGAATATGATGAAGCATAATGATCCCCATAAAGGAAACCAGTGCTAAGAGTAATATGCAGGCCAACCATACTGGCCTTTGCTCTGAAAATACTAGTTGCCTGACTGTCACATGTTGGTCACTGACTGAGAACAAGTATGCATATAAGAAATGCAGATTTCACTTGCAACATGCTTCGTAATAGAATCAGCTGGGAAGAAATTAGCATTTTAGAAGGATGATTATTGGGATGATTATTGGGAGTCTCAAACTCACATTTCCCCTACAAATTTTAAATCAGGTATCTTGCCTCATCCATGAAGATACTGAATGCAATTATAAATCAAGGGACGGCCTTTATTTCAACAAGCAATGTAAACAACAGAGAGACAAGGATGCTGGAAGGTGGGTACCCCTGTGCTTCTGAACAGAGGTCTCTGTGAGATGAACAGGTAAAACATTTTACAGTTTAAAAAACGCCGCACTCCACAAGATCTTTACTGGAAGCAAAAAAAAACACTGTTCATCACTTCCTTGTCGATCCTCAACCTCTAATGCTTTCCACCATTTAGGCTTAGTCATAAAGATATCTACAGATATATAGAGATGGTATCTCTATGACTACGCCTAAATGGTGAAACGCGTTAGTGGTGGGGATCGAGGAGGGGAATTATGGACAGTGTGTTTTTGCTGAATAAAGACTTTTATCTTCCGGAAAGATCTTGTGGAGTGCAGCCATTTTTGAACTTTTATTGCTTGAAGCGGAGACATACTTGTTGCCTGCACCTGGGACACAGACGAATTGAGAAGTCAGATTCAGAATGTACTGCAAGCGTTTTTTTGTCTTGTTTTGGATTATAGATAGGTGTTATATTTTGACTACATTTATTTCAGCTAAAGTATTAAAGAATCTGTAGTGTGGATATAGTACAAAATCGATTTAAAGCTTGTTGTTTAAAACTAGTACAAAAAAAAAAGTTAAAAGGAGATCTATGAGGTGAGGGATTTCCACTCATCCTCATAGTTAGAGCCGACCTGTGACAAAGAAGCTGTCACAGGTCGGCTCTATCGATCGGGAAGTGAGGAGAAACTCAGGAGTTATACCTTAAAAATGTATTCAAGTACCATAACTATTAACATAAATGTATCTTATTTGTGTATCACTCAGCTGTAGATCTTCAAATCATCTCTGAATTGGTGCCGACACTGTCCTTCCTTCTGGAGGGTGGCTACTTTTCATGCCGATGGTCCCTGTGTGTTGTAAAGTAGTCACCGCTCCAGAACCCTTCCTGTCATTCACCGTTTTGTGTGATTTTGCAGGGAAGTCACATAAACTGCATACCCAAGAATGAATGTTAAATATCAGCTGCAATAATAATCTAGATTTCTGTGGATGTCATTCCTTGCCTGACATTATCAGGCAGGGAATTTAGACTTCCAACTAGAAGATAATTATAGCAATGACAGCCAATGCCTAACAATACAGCAAAAGTAGCCACCCATTCTAAACAGCATTTATATATGTGAAGCATCATGATGATGCTGTTTATGATCTGTTTATTGATGCCGAGTCATCGCTGCTTGGATGTCACATTATTTTCCTAAAATCCAGGGCAATAAACCAGACCATAAATCAACACTGCTGATCATGGGCTGATTCACAGCAGCCAGCATAAACTAATCAAGAAGCTACAGAAACCTGTGCATTAAGCACCTGTACTAAATGATACATAACTAAGGCTGGGCACACACCTTACAACCATCGCAAGACTTTTGTCTTGCGATGGTTGTAAGGTACTTAAAAAAACGTACGATCTGCCTATGTTGCATAGGCAGATCGTACTTGCGAAGATCGCAAGCCACGCCCCCTCAGGGGCGGGCATCCGATGACCGCAATGCTGAACGGGCAGTGTGCGCTTGCGCACACCGGCCCGTACGGCTGTTATCGTACGGACATGCCACAAACCCGCCAAACGTCGTACGATGCTCGGCGGGTTTTCGAACATGTCCGTAAGTTCAAAGTCATGCGACCTTACAGTAGTAGAGGTCACACTGCTTCCACACACCTTACAATAATCGTACGATCGCGGGATTTCCCGCGATTATCGTACGATTATCGTAAGGTGTGTGGGGACCTTAACAAGTACTTCTCTCTGACCAAAAAGTGGGAGTAGGGTCCTGTCTGTAAAATACTTACCTTTGTACCAGTAAGGTGAAGCGTCCATGTTGGGTATCACAAGACTACTCAGTTACTGTATAACTGGGACTGACAAATGTTGATGCAAGCAGCGAGAGAAGACGGCAGTAAGAGGGTCACGGAGCAGCATATTTATATGGGATTTTGTCTTGCGATGGTTGTAAGGTACTTAAAAAAACGTACGATCTGCCTATGTTGCATAGGCAGATCGTACTTGCGAAGATCGCAAGCCACGCCCCCTCAGGGGCGGGCATCCGATGACCGCAATGCTGAACGGGCAGTGTGCGCTTGCGCACACCGGCCCGTACGGCTGTTATCGTACGGACATGCCACAAACCCGCCAAACGTCGTACGATGCTCGGCGGGTTTTCGAACATGTCCGTAAGTTCAAAGTCATGCGACCTTACAGTAGTAGAGGTCACACTGCTTCCACACACCTTACAATAATCGTACGATCGCGGGATTTCCCGCGATTATCGTACGATTATCGTAAGGTGTGTGGGGACCTTAACAAGTACTTCTCTCTGACCAAAAAGTGGGAGTAGGGTCCTGTCTGTAAAATACTTACCTTTGTACCAGTAAGGTGAAGCGTCCATGTTGGGTATCACAAGACTACTCAGTTACTGTATAACTGGGACTGACAAATGTTGATGCAAGCAGCGAGAGAAGACGGCAGTAAGAGGGTCACGGAGCAGCATATTTATATGGGAGCTGCAAAGGGAATTACAATTATCCACAGACTTGAAGGGGAGCTTTACCCCCTTTCACTAAAAATCACCTCAGCATTCAGCTCTGCATGCCGATATGAAATCATCTTACACTCATTAGCTAAACAAGCATATTTTTATTTTACTTACAATTTCTTTTTTTCCATTTCCAGGTCCACCTTGGCACAAATGATGTAATTGTGCCCAAGCATTGCATCCTGGGAAGGTTACATCAGCAGAGCATTGCTGAGAAATGCTCCTCAGGGAAAGGCATTTTCCTCCCCTGAGATGATGTGCATGGTCACATGTTCTAGTCACATGCGCCAGAGTTCCAGGAAGTAAAGGGAGATATAGTAATCTGCCCTTAGTTAAAATGACCAGTGAGAAGAATGCTGAGGAAAAGAGAAATAAGGAATGCAAAGAATAAAAAGCCGGCAATTATCTAGAAGTATCTGTTTGTAGATTGTCATTACTGAACATTTCTAAAGGTGTCTTTGTTGTCAGTTCAAATAGAGGGGTAAAGCTCCTCTTTAAAGGTGAAATATAATATACTTATATATTGCTTTTTCTGGTGTGTGTGTGTCCATGATTAAATAAAACTTTTCTGGTGCCATTAAATACCCTATTTTAGACCCATTCATGTCATCACTGCGTCTCTGTGCTTTTCTATGCAATGTAGGCAGAACATGGCTGGTGGGAGGGGCTGGCAGGATGCTGTGCATAGTTTTCTGAAAAAGTACAGCACTCTGCTTCAATACTCCTCTCATGAGTCCTCATGGAAGCAGTAGGCTGGCTCGTGAGAGGGGTTATGCAAATATAAAATTGTCTTCATGGGCAGGTGTCAGTCTGGAGGAGTGTTAGTACATAGATGTCACCAGCACACCAAAGGGATTTGAAATCAAAAGTGATTGTTTATTTTAAAAAAAGGCATGTCATCAGAACAAGTGCTTTCGGGGTTGCGCAGGGTCCCCTTCATCAGGCACAGCAATAGGGGACCCTGCGCGTCCCCGAAAGAGCTTTTTCTGATGATATGACGTTTTAATAAACGATCCCTTTGGATTTCAAAGCCCTTTAGAGTGCTGGTGACATCTTTCTACTAACATTGTCTGGCGGCGCCATCCACAGTCACTACAAGCACCCCCCTCTTGGATTGGGGACCTCCGGTAAGGAGTGTGACAAGGCAACTTTACGTTTGTACCAGTCTGGAGGAGTGGTCGCTGCAAGGCAGACTGCATATGCATGTAGACTGCCTTAGGTCATGCCCAGGTGTGATGCTGAGCCTCCATGGGATGGACACAGACAATAAGGCTGGCAAAGAAAGGGCCAGATCAGGGGTGGGCAACTCCAGGACTACAGCTGTGCTTTAACTACAAATCCCTACATGCCTCTGCTTCTGGGAGTCATGCCTGTGACAGTCTTGGAATGCCTCATGGGACTTGTAGTTCAACAACAGCTGGAGGGCCAGAGATACCCACCCCTGGGTGAGATGATGCTGGAAGTCCTGTCTGAATTGCTTCATCTTCTAATGCACACCACATCAAAGGACTGCCAAACTGAAATAGAATACATTTTTGTTTTGGGGTTTAGTTATACGGTAAACATTTTTGGTAGAAAGCACACCTATAATGTGATCACACATCAAATACTGTAAAGTTCTCACCTCGTGGTCCCAATAAATTATCTATATATCCAGTTACGGCTTTGTCCAAGGTCTCCATGTCTGCAATCTGAAAAGAAAGAAATGTTTACATCAGTGCAAATGAATGAACATGCCTGAAGACTCCAGGTCACAGATAAGGAAATACCTGAGCCATGATCATCACTGTATTTACTAAATATTGGTAATTTGTCTTCAGGGAACAGAGTGCAGAGAACAACACAGAACCTATACGATATGCAAACACACTGAAAGCTTTGAATGAATAGAAAGTTGTTGTTTTGAGTCATTGTGGTCATACACGCATAGATAGAGGAAGAGCCCAAACATAAAGTCAGTTGGAAGCTCTGCCAATACCACACCTATCATTGGCACAATCCTACAAAATGAGGAGTCTACTGGAAGTACCTTCATAAAGCAGACATATAGACTGATATAACATGTCGTGTGCCTTTATATCATTGTCCTGTAATACCCTGTACAGCAGGGGAACGTTACCCACCAATGTAATGTCTCCCAAAACACTTCATTTAAGGCATGCCAACTGTCAAGGTTGGCAGTGTGCTTATTCCACCTCTCAACCTAACTTTATGCCCTCATATGGCTGGTGTCATAGCTGATCACATGTGCAGCACCATGGCAACTGCAATCCAAATAGAGATTAACAAGGGGTTAAGATGGCACCTTCCTTGGCTGCCAGACCTCGTTCACCCTGGGCAATCTGGCATTCCTGCAGCAGAAACCTATTGATTACCCATTCAAGTTAATGACCAGGTGACAGCGGCTGCATCATTCACACCAGGGCGATAGCATTTCAGCGCTGTTTAAGTGCGGTTTTGCGCGATTCCACACCTGTTTTTTTATGAGCATTTCAGCGCGTGTTACAGGCGTTTTCTGTATGCCAGCACATTTTTGATGCTCGTTTTCACTTGTCCAATGAGAAGCAGGCTCAGCTGCTGAAATGCGCAAAAAAAAAAGAAGTGAGGAATCACGCAAATATGAAAGTCAAAAATTAAAGTCTATGGAGCAAAACGAGCTGATCAGCATGACAGGGACTATTTCAAGTGACAGTTTGTACACGCGATTCCATGCGTTTGCATCAACAGCCCCCATAGGAATGTATGGGATTTTATTTGCATGCGTTTCAGTGCAGAAAAATCCGTGCGACGAAACCGCGGTGTGAACGGGGCCTAAGTGGCAGTCCGCATATAATCGCATCACTCGGTTGCGAACCCTTTAAATCATCTCTGAATTGGTGCTGACACTGTCCTTCCTTTTGGAGGGTGGCTATCTTAAAAATACATACAATTACCTTAACTACCTTACCTTGTTCACACCAGATACAGTGCGCTACGGCCCGATTCTGGCCAGAACGCACTGCATCGCACATTATGCCTGCGGTCCGGTCAAAATGCTGCAATCCGATCGCATTGCGGCTATAGGGGGCGTGGCTACGGTGCCATTCACTTCAATTGACCGCCACGCCGCCCTCCTGCCCCACGACATCGTGAGCCGGCCACAATACGATGCAGTGCATTCTGGCCAGAATCGGGCCGTGGCGCACTGTATCTGGTGTGAACGAGGCCTAATAGTGAAGGTACTTGTATGCATGTTTAAGATTTAACTCCTGAGTTTAGTGTCACTTTGAGGCCTCTTTCACACGTGTGTTAATAAAATCAGGCATTAGAGAAACATTTTTAGAGCCTCTCTGCTACCTATTAACGCTCATGTGGGAAAATGCAATAGCAACCGCCCAGTACAGTTCACACATGGAAGTTAGTGTTGTGTTGTGTTGATGTGTGCTAAAAAATAGAGTGCATGTCCCGTTCTGGAGGCATTGCCGCTGGACAAATGGCTCCATTGAAGTATATTGAAACGCCCCTTAAATGCTCGTTCAATGCTCCAAAAGCATTTTCGGGCATTTAAGAAGCATTGCACACATGTTTTAGGAGAGGCATAGGAGGCTTTGCCTGTGAATGTTCTCATTCCTGCAGGTCATGGCATATCTGTAAAAAAGAAATCAAGGCAACTGGACTTGCTGTATTTTTCTTGACGACGTTTTAACGTTTTAGACGTCAAAAACGCCTCCTTAATGCCTTGAAAATGCCTACCGAATGCCTTAACACTATAGGCGCATTAAATAGCATTGCTCTTTTATTAAATTCTCAATGCACATGTGAAAGAACCCTTGGGCCTCGTTCACACTAGACACAGGGGGGAATTTATCAACACTGGAGCAGACTAAATCTGGAGAAGATTTGCACTGCAACCAATCAGCTGCTCATTTTCAAATCTTACCTGAGCAAACTGAAGAGAGATGCTGACTGGTTGCCATGGGCAACTGCTCCAGATTCTCTCTGCTCCAGTTTTGATAAATTCCCCTCTCAGTGCGTTCCGGCTTGATTCTGGCCAGAATGCACTGCATCGCATTGCGTCAGGCTCACTATGTTGTGGGGCAGTAGGGGGCGTGGCTACGGTGCCATTCACTTCAATGGACCTCCACGCCCCCTCCCTCCCCACAACATAGTGAGCTGGCTGCAATGCGATACAGTGCATTCTGCCCAGAATCAGGCCACAACGCAGTGTCTAGTGTGAACGAGGCCTTAGGCTTCCCCTCCCCGCCCCGTACCTAGCGTGTGGTACCTCCTGGCGGACATGTGCTTTGCTGCGCCGTAGTTGGAAAAAAGTAGTCCATGCGTTACTTTATCGCAATGCACAGTAAGGTTGTGTGTTGCACAGTGGTGTGTTGGGGTACCATTCAAATGTAGGGCAAAACACGTAGCTCAAGATAGCACGCTAGGTGCGTTGTGCGATAGCGTGCACGCTGAACGCACACTGATGTGCGAATAAGGCAAGGCAACAATGTGAATGGGCCCTAAAAAAAGTCAACGATTGTTGGCTGCTGATCGCTAACATACAAATCGACAGTTTACACAGCATTACACCCCACACAAGCAATAGTATGCCAACTGTTGTGGAACTACAAGTCCACACTACAACTACAAGTCAAATAAATAATGAGATAAGTTAAAGTGGAACTCCAGCCTGGGAGGGGAAGTTCCAGTGTCTGTCCCCACTTGGGAGGTTTCACTTGTCATGTGGTGATGAATTGAGAATAGCTTCTCCAACTGAGATAACCACGGCAACAAATACACTATGGTGGAGCAGAGAAGCATAAAGCTCTCAGTTCATTTTTATTGGGATCTCCAGGAAATCTCTCTGGAAAGGACAGTAGGAGGTAAGAGGGATGTGTTACCAATAAATGTTCTTCTGCTCTGAAAACCGTGACAGGAGCACAGCGTTAGCTCAGTACAGTACTTCTGCTCCTTGTTTTTGACTGATTGAGTCGCTGCAAGACGGATCGCCATACACTTCTACTGTTAGGGCTACAAATTCATACAACGGGGACCAGAAGTACAAAGCGCATGGACAGGAAGCACGGATGAGCTGAATCTTGGGAGTCCTCCTTTAAATATGTCAACAATTGGGTGAATACTGCCATCTGTATACTTCTGAAGCTTAAAGAAACCATACAATATCTTTTAATTCATGTCCCTAGTCATCTTCTGAAGCATGTCCCCAGTCCCTAGTCATCTTCTGAAGCATGTCCCCAGTCCCTAGTTCTTCTGAAGCACGTCCCCAGTCCTCTTCTGAAGCATATCCCCAGTCCCTAGTCATCTTCTGAAGCATGTCCACAGTCCCTAGTCATCTTCTGAAGCATGTCCACAGTCCCTAGTCATCTTCTGAAGCATGTCCACAGTCCCTAGTAATCTTCTGAAGCATGTCCCCAGTCGCTAGTCATCTTCTGAAGCACATCCCCAGTCCCTAGTCATCTTCTGAAGCATATCCCCAGTCCCTAGTCATCTCCTGAAGCACGTCCCCAGTCATCTTCTGAAGCATATCCCCAGTCCCTAGTCATCTTCTGAAGCACGTCACCAGTCCCTAATCATCTTCTGAAGCATGTCCCCAGTCCTTAGTCATCTTCTGAACATGTCCCCAGTCCCTGGTCATCTTCTGAAGCATGTCCCCAGTCCCTAGTCATCTTCTGAAGCACGTCCCCAGTCCCTAGTCATCTTCTGAAGCATATCCCCAGTCCCTAATCATCTTCTGAAGCATATCCCCAGTCCCTAGTCATCTTCTGAAGCATATCCCCAGTCCCTAATCATCTTCTGAAGCATATCCCCAGTCCCTAGTCATCTTCTGAAGCATATCCCCAGTCCCTAGTCATCTTCTGAAGCATATCCCCAGTCATCTTCTGAAGCATATCCCCAGTCCCTAGTCATCTTCTGAAGCATATCCCCAGTTTCTAGTCATCTTCTGAAGCACGTCACCAGTCCCTAATCATCTACTGAAGCATGTCCCCAGTCCCTAGTCACCTTCTGAAGCATGTCACAAGTCCCTAATCATCTTCTGAACATGTCCCCAGTCCCTAGTCATCTTCTGAAGCATGTCCTCGGTCCCTAGTCATTTTCTGAACATGTCCCCAGTCCTTAGTCATCTTCTGAACATGTCCCCAGTCCCTAGTCATGTTCTGAAGCATGTCCCCAGTTTATGACCACCACCTGTGTTATGTCCCCATTCTCTGATCATCTCCCGATGCATGTCTGCAGTCTCTCACAGCTTTCTGTAGCATTACATTAACTAAATATTATGATTGGCCCTTTGTTAATGTCAGGGGCCACATCTGAGGTTTCTATTTTAAGTCTAGCTCATTTCCAATCAGGGTTGAATACATATGATGCCCACATAGAGAATGTTCCAGAAGATCCCTCCGAATAAAGGAGGAGGTAGACAGAGATCAAGAAGAATACAGTCTAGAAGTTAAAAGAAAGTGAATGGGTGGCATACAAGAGCGGCCACATGAGCAGTAGCGCCGATTGAAGAGGAAGAGCCACTCCTGAAGGGGGGGAAATTAGTCATGTACAACCTGTAACATCCGACTTGTGGTAACAGAGCCCTGGGTGGAGGGAGGACCCCGGGAAGACACAGGGCTGTCATCCGGGCCATATATAGAGATGACGGCTATGTGGAACGAGGAGTCCCCGCCTGGCCGATCTATCTTCCGATCCCCATCACCCCGACTTTCCACAACTTACTCCGGACTGCGCCCTCCCGCAGCCACATGCCCGGCTGTGCCAACATCACCCCAGCCATCGCCATGGACAGCCGCCGCCCTCCCCCCGTCACCAGACATGAAGATAAAGTGTGGGTACCGTTATGTGTCGCCCGTTCTTCCCTGTACGATGGTAAAGCTGGAGGAGGCTGTGCCGTGCTGCTCCTTCCTCTCCTCCTCCCCGGCCCGGCCTGGCAGTGTGTTCCCCGCTGGCCCCGCCCCTGGGTGGAGCCCGGCCTCTCCCAGCCACACACAGCCGGGGATAAGAGACGCGTGAGGAGGCTCGCCTGATGAGAGAAGGGAGGGGAGGCCGGGGATGGAGGGGGACCACAGGCGGCCACACGAGGGAGGGGGATGCTGAGAGCAGGACGGGGCTCAGGACTCCATACAACTTTTTCCTCACACTGTGACCTTGGGATAGTTTACAGCACTGTACAGCGGACCGAAGCTGCTCATAGAGCCGTGTGATCGGAGGTTCGAGTGCTTACCAGGCTCACTCACATATATGACAATGCACATGACAGCACACATACATGACAGTGCACCTGCGTGACATCACACCTACATGGCAGTGCACATACATGACAGCTCACATACATGAAAGCTTGTAATGCTTGTTACCATGGAGAGGGGGCAAGGAGGAGATGAGTGGTGATGGCAGACACTATTATAGGGGGACAATCATTGTGGTTGGTGTTTGGTAATTAGCTTGTCCAATCAATTTGTCAGTTTACATACACCCCCCCCTCCCCCGCCCCC